TGCCAACCTTTGTTCTCCCCACGCCCACAAGTTTGTCCCCTTCCCACTGTCCCCATCGGAAGGCCTGAACCCAGAAGGAAACACAGGCTAGCTACCCTTTTCTTTTTGCTTTGAATAAAATAAGACCCTTTACTATCGCAAACTGGAGTGTCATTTGCAGATAGATTATTCAAACAGATAAGCCAAAGGAAGAACGCAGGCATGATGCACAAGCAAGAGCTAAGCCCGGTTGTGACACTGGTACACTCCTTGTGGCTTCTCGGTTTGAGGTTTGATCTGTATTTAGGTTATATGTGCATAGAAATTGAAGAGTCAGAATTTCTAAAAACATAAATTCCTACTCTCATCCCCTTCCTGTTCTAACACAACCATTCTGACCCCTTTGAGCTAGCACTTTTAGTATTTAATTCTGCATTTCTACATAACAGGCTTTTCTCACCTCTTCATACTTAGCTGTTGGGCAGTGCGGATCCCACTCTGATACACCTCCCTGCCCCAGCACAGACCCTCCCCCTTTGTCCCACCCCTCAGGGTAGTTCCGGGTAAGCCTGCAATGCTACCACATTCTGTTTACATATTTATATGCTTCTGACTGCCTAGACAACACTGACGGGAAAGCACAGTGACCTCTGCTAGTCTGCACGGTTAGTTCTATTTTTCTCTGAGTTAATGATTGTCCTGCTCCCCAAGGCTTAGGATTCCCAACATTTGTAATCAGATTCAACTAGGACCTCTCTGCCACTGACCAAGGTCTCTTATCCCTTTCCAACGCCTCAGTTCGTGCCTTCCCCTGCTGAAGATACTTCCCAGGAGTCGCAGACCTGCTCCCACTGGGACTGGTGAACTGCTGGAGCAAGCTGCCTCTACCATCCTCCAGGGAACACTTCTAATTCTCTCCTTGCTGCATTTCTGCTTCTTGGGTAACATATCTTGCCAGGCTTGCTACTTTTGATGTAGCAAACTCATGGAGAAGGGCAGGATGGAGGGTAAAATGTTTCAGACTTTCTGTATCTGAAGAGACTTCTAGAATTCTCTCTGCTTCCTTGCTGATACTTTGGCTGGGCATAGAGTTCTCTGTTGGAAAGAGCTTTCCCTCAGAACTTCAGAGCCATGACTTGATGGCCTTCTTGTACCAGAATTTTCACTGAGAAGCCCGAAGTTGTGCTGAGGTTTTAAATGGGGCATGCTTTCACCCTTTGCCTTCCGGAAGCTGGCAGGATTCTGTGGTGTGTTTTGCCTGATTCCTTCCCAATCTGACCTGCAGTTTCCCTTAATTTCCATCTCTGCTCCTCAGTGTCCCCTCCCCATTCTGACTTTGCTTCCAGAGGTAGCTGGTGCCACCAGTCCCCAGGCCTTTGGGAATTTGAGGAGATGAACCAACTGGTTTGGCCTTGGCTGTCCTCATCACTGCCTAGGTTCAGTTTTCCCAGATCTGACAAGTTGTCTTTCTACTTTTTATTTGCCTTTTATTTTCCCAAAAGGTCCTATCGTCTCCTCTGTTCTCCAGTCTTTGAAGGCTTATGCCTTTCAAAACAGGTGTTTGGGGAAGTGCTTACTGGTGTCCCATACTGGAGTCTTAGCTCCTTCACTTTCACCCGGTTTCCTATTAATGTGCACTCTATGGAAGAGTGAGGATGGCTCAAGTGCTTGGGTCCCTGCCACACACGTGGGAGACCTGAATTGAGTTTCTGGCTTCTGGCTTTTGTCTGGCCCAGTCCCTGTTGCCAGACATTTGGGGAATGAACTAGCTAATGGGGGATCTTTCTCTTTCTCCTACCACCCACTAAGTTTTATTTATTTTTTTGAAAGTTAGAGTTACGGGGAGAGACAGAGAAAGAGAGAGAGAGATATCTTCCATTAATTGATTACTACCCAGATGACCACAATAGCTGGAACTAAGCCAGACAGAAGGCAGCATTTTCTTCTGGGCCTTCCACCTGGGTGCAGGGGCCCAAGGACTTCCACTGCTTTTCCCAGGCCACTAGCAGGGTGGTTAATTGAAAGTGAAGCAATCATAGGCCTGGCTCAGTAGCCTAGTGGCTTAAGTCCTCTCCTTGCATGTGCCAGGATCCCACTGGGCACCGGTTCTAATCCCAGCAGCCCCGCTTCCCATCCAACTCCCTGCTTATGGCCTGGGAAAGCAGTCAAAGACAGCCCAAAGCCTTGGGACCCTGCACCCATGTGGGAGACCGGGAAGAAGCTCCTGGCTCCTGGCTCCAGATTGGCTCAGCTGCAGCTAAATTCAGTGGCTAAATTCTTGCTTTGCATGCACCAGGATTTCATATGGGTTCCAATTGGTATCCTGGCTACTCAATTTCCCATCCAGCTCCCTGCTTGTGGCCTGGGAAAGCAGCAGAGGATGACCTAAAGCTTTGGGACCCTGCACATGTGTGGGAGACCCAGAAGAGGCTCCTGACTCCTGGCTTAGGATGAGCTCACCTCCAGCCATTGTGGCCACTTGCAGAGTGAACAAGTAGATGGAAGATTTTTCTCTCCTTCTCTTTCTCTCTGTAAATCTGACTTCCCAATGAAAAACAAGTAAATAAATAAATAATCTTTAAAAAAGAAAGAAGAAACGGAGCACCAGAGGGTGGCTCAAATACTTGGGCCACTGCCAGCCCCCCATGGCTGCTTTTTATACCGGGGGTTAAGGTGATGCCCCCTAGACCCCAGGTCCAGCAGAGCCAAAGTCTTTACAGAAGAGTGTCATCAGTGACCTTTGGTTTAGACTAAATAGTCAGGGAGAACCTCCATGAAGAGGTGGCATCTAAACTGAGGCCTGAAGAGTCAGACAGAGGAAGAACAGGATGAGAGGGCACAGCAGTCACAGCAGAGAGCAAACAAAGGCAGGAACTTGTGGGTCCTAACGCTCAAAAGAGGGGCTCTGATGGGACATGTGAGGTGCTCTGGGGTGCTGAGGGTGCCATGGCCCATTCAGGTTGGCAGCAGGACTGCCCAGGGCCAAGGTTTGCTTTGTGGGTCCTGCCTTTGCTTGGCACAAAACAGGTCTGTGTTGAATGGCTCTATTTGCCTTCCTGGGGCAATGACCTGGGATTTGAGACTCGAACCCAGGAGGTGAGAAGAGCCTGGGACTTACCCACAGTTCTGGGAGCAGATGCCCTGGAAGCCAAGAATGGGAGCCCAGGGCCATCTGAGTCCTGAACGGACTTTGCTAACGGGGTCAGGTGCAACAGCCATGAGTGGGCACAGAGGAGCAGCCCTTAGGGAATTCCCAGCCAGAGGAATTCTCAGACTGGGGTTAGAGTAGGGGTGTCAAGCCTCCACTGCACAGGTTTAACTAAACAGAAGCTAGCTGTTGGCGTCTTATGGGCCAGTTCTGTGCTGAGGGAAAGTGGTGGGCTGTTGGCACCATGTCAGAACCTGAGCAATCAGGGCCGATGAGCCACAGGCTGCTGGGTAGAGTCAGGCTCTGTGCCTGGAGGCTGGCTGTGCCATCTGTAAGAAGGGTGAACTACAGGCCAGTGGCCTGGCCTCTGTGGTCTTCACTATGTGGATTTCAACATTATCTGCCACAAAGACAGGTAAAGCATGAGGGAACAGTGGCCTCGCATCACACCCACAGGGAGGAGTCAAGGCACCTTGGCAGAGCCTAACCATGGTAGGATTTGTGGCTGGCTGGCTGGCTTCGGCAACCATCCTCCCAGGTCTGCAATGGTAGAGAACAGTCAGGGTTGGAGGACTAAAACCCTGATGCCCCAGACGCTTCCTTCAAACCTGCCAGTCCATCAGCAAATCCTGCCTCTACTGCACCAGAGAACACACAGCCCTGCCACTTCACCCTGTCACCAGCTTGCACCTCCAATATGGCACAGACCTGCCCTGCAACCACCCCACACACACAAGCTTCCCCATCCCCAGTCAGTCGTCTCTCTCCACAAACAGTGAAGTTCACGTCTCTCCTATATTTCAGATCCTACTGTAACTCCCTAACTGACTGATATGTTTATTCATTCTGCATGATTACTGATCATTGAAGGGATGCTTGGGGGCCAGGTCCTGTTCCAGAAGACAGTGGTAAAACAGGGACCAAAACAAACACTTCCACGAAGCTTCCAGAGTGAGACAGACCATGCGCATCAGTGAAACACTGGCTGTGTCAGGCGTCAGGTGGGGAGGTCATTCAGGGGCGGTGCGGTTCTTGGGTTTTACGTGGGAGAGCGCAGGGTCGGTAGAAGCCTCCCATACAAGGTAAAGGTTAAACAAAAATGTGAAGGCTGGCAAGGTGGTGTCAAAGGGGCCCAGCTCCATTCTGCTGCCCATCGGGGCCTGTGGATGTTCTAAGCTAGGAAGGCAGAGGGAGGGAAGTTTTGAGAACCACTCTGACTAACTGAGTGAGGTGAGGCCCCTCAGACGAGTGGCCAACCAACCACACCAAAGGCTTGCCTACTGGTACCAGCCCTCACCGTGGGAACCACTCAACCCTCTGGCCCCACTTAACGTCCACTGCGCCCCAAGTCCTGCTAGGCACGCACGGGGTTTCTATCATAAGGGGCAGGAGATTCAGGAAACACAGAAAAGAATGAAAGAAACGTCCTCTAGGGATCAGCGGCTCTTTTAATGCCAGGCACACAGTCGACACTCAATAAAAGGCCACAGATGGAAGAGAGAACAAGCGGACCAAATCCACGTGGTTATGGGCCCCTAGAGCCGAGGGACATCCAAGCATAGGGAAAACGCCTCCCCCAACTTTAAGTGTCCGGCCTCAACCCAGCCCAGCGCATTACCAGATGTTGGATGAAGAGCAGCGACCTTACAGGAGTTTCTCCCGAACTGCCCGCACCTTAAGATGGGCCAAAGCCAGGATTTCTAGGGGATCACTCCATCATGTGGCCCCAGCCGGTCACGCGGGAGGGTCCTCCCACGCGCTTCCTCCCACCCTCAGGCCATGGAGACGAAGGGACAGAGGGTCACCCACGCAGGGCGGAGGCCCCGCCCCCTGCTAGCCGGCCCGCCCGCGCCTCCAGCGGAAGCCGGAAGCAAAAGCAGGTCCTGCTAGCCCCGCGGCTCCGAACTCGGTGGTCTTGGAGGCTCGGCAGGCTGGGGGAGAAGATGGCGGAAGAGGAGTGAGTGGGCTTTTCCTGGGCGGCGGAGGCGAAGGCAGGGCTGGGCCCTGGCGGGTGACACTTAGTTCCTCAGGTCGCCCTCTGGCCTCAGAAGGCGGGGTTCCTGTGCCAATTGGCCAGGACTGATCGTGCTAGCGCCTACGAGGAGGGTGGGATGGGCGGGCCTGGGCCCTGCAGTGTCCCCGAGATCGGACGGCCCTGGGGCTGGGGGAATGTGTCACTCCGCCCAGACCCCGGAGCCCGTGTTGCAAAACCGTAACCCTCTTCCCCAGTGCCCCAGCTTCCGGTCATCTGAAGGTTACTCAACCCTGCCTCCTCCTCCTGGAAGTCTTCCCGGTTTCCCCTTCACTCCCATCCCTTCCTTGGCCAGGCGCCTCGTGCTCTGTAACAAGCAGTTTTCGTGTCTGTCGCCTCCACGGTTTCATTCATTCATTGGCTGTTGGCCATCCACTCATTCACGGCACAGTGCAGAGGAGGAGGCCGACCCGGGAGCCCCCTCCACACCCCCGGGGAGCTTGCATGATGGTGGGGGAGAGAAGCTCACAGATGGGGAGGATTTGAGGAGTGCTGTGGGGGGAGTGGGAAGGTGTTAGGGCAGGGAGCCCGAACTTGCATTCACGGGAGGGTTGGTGTCTAGAGTGGAGGAGGGCTTGGAGGGCGGGAGCTTTGGCAGCGAACTGGCCTCGGGAGGGTGGGCATTCCGGCAGGGAACCGTGGGCGTGGCCAGCATGCCCTGTGTGTGTATTGAATGTTTAACAAGGAATCTCTAAAACGACACTGGACTCCCTCCCTGCAACTTTCGGATGTGGCTCTCGGCCTCTTGAGAGCCGTGTCATTAAAGGCAGCTTCCATCACCCAACGGGGTCCCTGTCTGAGACAGATCAGAGCCCAGCAAGGGGAGACAACCCAGCGGTTCTTAGGTTCGAGGCTTGAGTCTGCCCTGTGACTGAGATCTTAGGCAAGTTACACAATATCTCCAAGCCTGGGTGACTCACAGGTAAACAGTGACCTCACTCACGTGATGCCTGGTTCAAGGAATGGAGCAGAGGGCATGATGATTAACTTACAGTCACAGCTCACCATCCCACCTCAGAGTGTAAACTGTAAATAGAGATGGGGTGGAGGGAGCTATTGCAGAAGAGTAAACAGCTTTTAAAGTTTGAGAGGGAGTTTTGTAGGGTGGGTTGAGCCAGCTGAACAGACCCTGAACGCAGCTGGCCATGTGTTGCCTGGCATCTTCAGCTTGCAGACATAACCTGTAAACTGGAGAAGCGAAGGTGCTAAATAAAAAATATGGGACCTTGGACCACGAGGAGAGCAGCAGGTGCCATGTAACAGGCCACCCTTCCTTTCCACAGCAGTCCTGATCCCCTTTGCACCTGTCCCCCGATGCCCAGATCCCCAAGTGCCTTCTCCTTTGGGCCTTGTGAGTCCCACAGAACTCTTTTGCAGCTTCTTTCTGGTTTGGGGGCAGAGGCGGGGAGACTGAGGCTTCAGGGTTCTTTGTTTTTATTCTGCTCTGCTTTCCGTCTTCTGGCAGGTTCCCCAATGCAACGCACGAGGGTTTCAACGTCACCCTGCACAGCACCCTGGGTGTCACGACAAGACTGGTGCTTCCGACCCCCGCCAAGCCCATCCTCCCCGTGCAGACTGGGGAGCAGGCTCAGCAGGAGGAGCAGTCGAGTGGCATGACCATTTTCTTCAGCCTGCTCGTCTTAGGTGAATGCGGAGACGGTCTTGCCACCGTGTGTGTGCCCGGGCTCTGTCCAAATGGGCAGCCCCGTCCCTGCCCTTTGCCCAGTCCTTCTGTTCTGTTTCCACTTGAGTTCCTGCCACCACAATGGGAGGCTCCTTTTTCTGTGCAAAGGCAGCGCTTGGCCAGTCTCTTAGGGAAAGGAAAGTTTGGCACAGCCAGGCTCTGGTTTCCTTTATGCATACTTCAACCACGTGTCTTGTTAGATTGAATCTTTCAGAAAAGTGAAAGGTAGAACTGGGCTTTTCTTATCTATTTCAGTGAAGGCTGGTAGAACCATTCTAAGGAAAAGTGCGACTTGTTCCACATTTATATTTAGGTGCTGGGAAATGGTCAGAGAATTGCTAGAGAAAGTCACTGTGTTTGAAATCATAGCATCTATCTGTGTAGTGCCATTTCTAAAACTTTTTTTTTAAGATTTATTTACTTTTATTGGAAAGGCGGAGATACAGAGAGGAAGATCTTCCGTCTGATGATTCATTCCCCAAGTGAGTGCAACGGCCGGTGCTGTGCCGATCCGAAGCCAGGAGCCAGGAATTTCCTCCAGGTCTCCGACGTGGGTGCAGGGTCCCAAGGCTTTGGGCCGTCCTCGACTGCTTTCCTAGGCCACAAGCAGGGAGCTGGATGGGAAGTGGAGCCGCTGGGGTTAGAACTGGTGCCCATATGGGATCCCGGTGTGTCCAAAGCAAGGACTTTTAGCTGGTAGGCCATCGTGACAGGCCCTGTTGTATCGCAGGGTGTTCAAGGCGAGGACTTTAGCCACTAGGCCACTGCGCTGGGCCTGACACTTCTTTTCTTAAATCTTTAGACCGGGAAGCCTTCCTTCAGGCTTAAAGAGTAGGACAAGTCCATTTATGTTGCTGTTAGCTTGATACTTGAGAGCACATAAAAGGCAGGTAAAACTTTCTGAGTAACTTTCGGGGTGTGGACCATTTAAGTTTGACCTGTGTTAGAGACTGTAGAACAGGTTTTAACAATGCACTTTTTAATTCTGACAAAACCCTTCCTGCTGTTCAGGGGTCAGAAAGCGATGGTCTGTGTTTAACAGAGATGCATGTTTCTCTTGGATTGTCTGCTCTCCAAAGATCATAAACCCAGTGTCTGCAGGAACATTCAGGATTTTGATTGTGATTCATGGTTTTGTTTTATTCTTGTGAGTCCCTCAGCAGTGTATGAGTTGGTGTCTCCGCTTACAGGTCAGTGTGCGTTAGCGGAATGAAATGAAGTGTTCTTTCTTCTTCTCTTTTCTTTTTAAAGATTTATTTGTTTTTATTGGAAAGCCAGATATACAGAGAGGAGGAGAAAGAAAGAAAGATCTTCCATCCTATGATTCCCTCCCCAAGTGGCTGCAATGGCCAGAGCTGAGCCGATCTGAAGCCAGGAGCCAGGGCTCCCACACAGGTGCAGCGTCCCAAGGACTTAGAGCAACTTCCATTGCTTTCCCAGGCTGTAAACAGGGAGTGGGATGGGAATTAGAGCAGCTGGGATGTGAACTGGTACCCATATGGGTTGCTGGTGCTTGGAAGACAAGGATTAGCTGGCTGAGCCAATGTGCCGGCCTCGATATTTGCTTTCTTTACATTCCTATTTATTTACTTGATTAGAGAGAGCTGTGATCCCCAAAGTGCCTGCAACAGCTAGAAGCTAGCAGCTCAGAGCAAGTCTCTGATATGGGTGGCAGGGACGTAGCTGCTGGAGCTGTCAGATGTGGGAGGACTCTCAGGCTGCACGCACAGGAACAGGGATCAGGAGCAGACCCTGGGCTGGAACCCAAGCCCTCCAGCATGCCAGGTGGGCATCCAAAGCAGCTTCTTGGCCACTGGGCTTTTTAGGTAGATTTAAAGGCATTTTTCTTTAACTGTTCTAATATATTTGTATTACTGTATGATTGTATGTCCACACAGTGTAAATCTGATGAATACAATCAATTGCTGTTAATAGGTCACTTGTTAATTCGCCGAGTAGTCTGTATGAACTATGGTTAAATGTAGTGATGTCATTGCATCAGTTAGTCCAGAGCCAGGCCTCAGAAACTCCTGACCTGGAAGAATTTTAGTGAAACACAGGGAAATTCTGTGTTGTTGTTGTTGTTTTTTTTTAATTGCAAAGTCAGATATTCAGACAGGAGGAAAGAGAGGAATATCTTCTGTCTGTTGATTTGCTCCCCAAATGGCTGCAATGGCGAGAGCTTAGCTGATTCAAAGCCAAGAGCCCAGAGCCTCTTCTGGGTCTCCCACGTGGGTGCAGGGTCCCAAGGCTTTGGGCTGTCCTCGACTGCTTTCCCAGGCCACAAGCAGACCCATATGAGATCCTAGGCATGCAAGGTGAATTTAGCCACTAGGCTACCATGCCGGACCCACCCAGGAAAAATCTGACTTCCGTGTCACGAGCATGTCACGGCACCAGGGCGTGTTCTTTGCTGAGAGGGTTTGCCAGCACTCAAGCCATTTGACGTGTAGAAGCTTGAAACCTGTTGACGTGTTTAGTCCTTGCTGATCTTGGGCTACGCAAGCAATTGTGGTGAATCATTGTTAGTGACAGAAAGCATAGTTAACAATTAACATCACTTGGCTTGTGTATTTTATGTAGTGTTAAAGTAATGGAGTTATTACAGTTGGCATGTCTGAGCTTTTCATGCATTGTGCATAATTATTGCTGCAGACATGAACAATTAGAAGCACATGATTTATGGGAGTCTGTGTGTCTCTCCCATCCATGCCAGACAGGCGTGTTGGTTTCTTCTTACTCTGTTTCCGTTCGAAGTGTTCGTGAAGCCGTGTGCTTGTACGTGCATGCGGTATTCATAAACATATATACCTTGATGGATACATATGGTTTGGAGTTTGATCATAGATGGGATTTCTTTATTTATTTGAATAATAATAATAGTTACAGGGTGAGACAGAGTTTCCATCCGCTGCTTCACTCCCAAATAGCTGCAGTGGCCAGAGCTGGGCTGGTTCAAAACCAGGAGCCAGGAGCTTCTTCAGTTTCTCCCACATCTGCTGCTGTTCCAGGAAGGAGCTGGATTGGAATCGAGTCAGCCAGGACTGGAATTGATGCTCACCTGGGATGCTAGCACCATAGGCAGTGGCTTTACTCACAGTGACACAGCATTGGCCCCTGAAAGGAAAATGTGGGTAGCGGCAGGCATTGGGCTAACATTTGCGTTGCCCATATCCTGTATCAGAGTGTCTGGCTTCAAGTGCTGGCACTGCTCCCCAGTCTAACTCCCTGGGAAGCAGCAGGTGGTGGCTCAAGTCCCTTGGTCCCTGCCCTGGGTTGAGTTACTTCCTCCTGTGCTTGTCTAGATGAAAACGCTCTCTCTACATCTTAAACAAACAAACAAACAAACAAAACAAAACATAGTGAAAACCATTGAAAGCCATCGTTCCTCATTTCCCTCTTTCTCTGGAAACCGTATTCTGCTTTCTGTCTCAGAATTAACCTCTGTATTATTTCATAAAAGGAAGCATGTGGCATGTGGCCTTTTGTGGCTGGTGTGTCCTTAACAGGTCTTCAAGTGCCATGTGCGGGGAAGCCTGTGTGTGGCCGCCATTCCACCATTCGCTCCTGTGGCTAGACTGCTTTATGTTTTTTTCAAACATCATTTGATGAGCGTTTGAGTTGTTTGCAATGCTGTAGTAAATAGTGCTGTGATGAACTTTTTATTTTGTTAAAGACTTACTTATTTTTATTGGAAAGTCACATTTACAGAGGAGAGACAATGAGAAAAAGAGATTTCCACATGCTGGTTTACTTCCCAAGAGGCCTTAGCGGCCACAACTGAGCTAATCCAAAGCCAGGAGCTTCTTCCAAGTTTCCCATGTGGGCCCAGAGTCCCAGGGCTTTGGCCCGTCCTCGACTGCTTTCCCAGGCAACAACCAGAGCTGGAAGGGAACTGGGACTGCCGGGACACAGACCAGCACCCATATGGGATCCTGGCGTGTGGCCATTTAGTTAGGAATGGAATTCTGGCATCTAGTAGTTATTCTGTATTTAACTTTCTCCAGAGCTGATAAGCTGCGTTTCCATATATCTAAAGCATCTTACTAGGCCTTCAGTGTCTTCACCTTCTTGCCATTGTTGTTTTAAATGATGGCCAACAGGGAGTGGGTGTGAGGTCACAGCTCCTAGCGATGACCACTCTTCTCACTAGTGATGCTGAGCTGCCATTGATCCTGCCCGGGGGAATGTCTGGTTCGGTTTCAATGGTCTGATTTGTCTCTTTGTTGTTGAATTGTTAAGAGTTCTGGGCACTAGACCTTTATCAGCTCGAGGATTTGCACATACATTCCGCTCTAAGAGTTGTTTTACTGCCTTGTTCTCTGCCTTGTTCTGATGGTTGAAGGCCGCTCCCCAGCTCGGATGAGCCTTACGCCTGTTTGCTCTGAATGCCGCTGTAGGTGTTGGACTAGGAAAGTAGGCATTCTAATGGAGCTGGTGCACCCCGGCTGCCCCAGAGGGGAAGCACACGTGGACTCGGTTCCCTGCTCTGTGGTGTCGGCCTCTACCTGCCTCTTGTTGTCCCCAGACACTGGCAGTGCCTGGAGCCCAGGCCGGGCTTCTACCCTGAGTGATGTTTCTCACCCTACGTGTTTGAAGCATGATTTTCTAACTTGGTTAAATGTTTATATGAAAATAAGACCACAGATTGACAGTTTAGAGCTCAGAGTGAAAGGAGGACAGAATCTTCTATATTTACAACTGTTTCCTTTCTCTGGCCACCTGCTGTTTTCTGGTGGGACTGAAAAAAATCTAGTCTGTCAGTGAGGGCTCTGAGGGTGGCCAGCTGACAACCATGCAAGTTGTTTAAATTTCCTTTAAGGGCCTGGCTCAGTGGCCAGTCCTCACCTTGAATGCACTGGGATCCCTTATGGGCGCTGGTTCTAATCCCGGCACCCCTGCTTCCCCCAGCTCCCTGCTTGTGGCCTGGGAAAGCAGTGGAAGACAACCCAAAGCCTTGGGACCCTGCACCCACGTGAGAGACCCGGAAAAAGCTCCTGGCTTCGGATTGACGCAATACCAGCTGTTGGGGCCACTTGGGGAGTGAATCATCGGACGGAAGATCTTCTCTGTCTCTCCTCCTCTCTGTATATCTGACTTTGCAATGAAAATAAATCTTTTTAAATTTTTTCCTTTAAAAAAGAATCACAAGAGTATTTTTAGAGTATTTTCTTTCTCCACCTTAGCCTTGTCCCCTCTTGGAGGTAAGCAGTGACAGCAGACAGCTGGGGCGGGGCAGAGTGAGTGAGGGGGTGCCCTGTGGTGAAGGGCCTAGGGGGCTCACTTCGTGGTGTGACGTCTGCCACCAGGGCATTACTGTCATGCTAAGCTTCCTGCTCCATCGTCACAGGAGTGGGTGGTGATCACGGCTGACGCAGAGGGTACTCTGGTGGGTTCAGTAAAACAGCCTTGGACACAGTCCTGACTCCCAGGTGCCCTCCTGAGAAGGCAGTACGCAGGCGTACCCTGTTAGCAAGAGCGTTGGTCTCCTGCTCTGTTCACCAAACTGCAGTATTGACCTTTGCTGTTGGTAAAATGCCTTTACTTGAAAATCCTCCCTGTCAGCTCGGTCTGTTGCAGTTATGCTCGTGTAAGTGATTGATTCCGTTGACTTGCTCCGTACCTTGGAGAATCTTTCAGCTGATCCTTGCTTCAAAAAAGTTGAGAACCTTTAGCCAAATCAGGGTATTGTGAATAATTCTAAATGTTTTTAAAAGGATTTCAGTTAAAATTTAAAAATTGATTGGTACTGCCATTGTAATGCATCAGGTTAAGCCACTGCCTGTGATGTGAGCATCCCATGTGAATGCTGGTTCAAGTCCTGGCTGCTGTACTTCTGATATACCTGTTGGGAAAGTAGCCAAAGATGGCCCAAGTCCTTGGGTCCCTGCCACTCACGTGAGAGGCTTGGATGGAGTTCCTGGCTCTTGGCTTTGGCCTGGCCCAGCCTCAGCCATTTTTAACTGTGCCTATCAAATAAATAAATAAGTATTTTTAAAAATTTTGCTTATTTATGAGAGAGAGAGATATCCCCCATCTGCTACTTCACTCCCCACTTGCTTAGTGTGACACTGCCTGACCAGAACCTGTATTAGATTTCTGTTCCTCTTCCAGGAGCCACTAGAAAGTGAACTGTAGTTAAGGCACGTAGAGAAATGTTTAGAGAAAGTGTAATTACCCCGCTACTTATACCTCCAGGCTAAGAAGTAAGACATTCAAACTACAACTGAAATCCTTTGGGTCCTTTCCACCTGTGCATTTCTCTGACGGCCCCTGAAACAACCACTGCCTTGAACTTAGCTCTTATTATTCGTAACTGAACTTTTTTTAATGGTGTCTTTTTTCCCCCTGCAGCGATCTGCATCATACTGGTGCATCTTCTCATCAGGTACAGACTGCATTTCTTGCCAGAGAGCGTTGCTGTTGTTTCTCTAGGTAAGTGCTTAGGCCTGCTCCCCATTAGAAAAGCCGCCACGATGACGTCCAGCTTTTGAGTGCCTTCCCCATGTGAGGAACCACAGGGCTCCACAAGGTTCTGACCTCCCTGAACCTTGCTGGGACCTGCTCTAAGGGGGTCAGGATGCCACTCCACAGGAGAGGACGCTGGACCCAAGAAGGGTGGGTGCCCATGTGGAAGTCCATCTGTGAGCTCACCTTTCCTCAGCCCCTGCTCCTCCGGGAACCCCGCTGGGCATACACTGGCCTCTGCTGTGAGGCAAGGCTCACATTCATCATCTGCTATGGGTTGTCGAGCCCCTCGCTGCCTCTTGAATGTCTGCATAATTGCAGCTCACTGAGTTCCAGTGTTTGTGTTCAGACCTACAGCAGATATCACTGCTTCCCTATTCAAGAAGTGTTTATTTTGCCCATCTTTCTTGAAGATGCAATCGCTTTTTGAGAAGCAGAGAGATGGAGAGGGAGATGAAGAGCTCCTGTCTGCTGTTTCAACTCTTCAAATGCCTGCAGGGGCTGCTGCTGGGCCAGGCCGGATTTAGGAGCTAGGAAGCCAGTATGGATACTTGCATGGGAGCCAGGAGCCCCATTGCTTGAGCTACCATCTCTCCTTCCAGCATCTGTGAAGCCTAACAGTTAGGAGCCAGGGCCAGGAATCTACTCCTGTGCTGTGGGCCAGGGCAGCGGCCTCCAGACTGCCGGGAAGAAGGCTGCCTCCCGCATTCCTGGGCTCAGTCAGGTGTCTTCTCCCAGCATGTTCAAGAAGGCAGAGCACCTATGAGCCAACTCTGATCTTAGTCAGCCTGTTGTGATTGGTTGGAACAAGTAAGGGAGGCAAGGCAGGACCCACTCAGGAGAAACGTGCCGAGATGGTGGGTCCTCTGATAGATTGAGTGCGCCCTCATGCCTTGGGTGCTGCTGAACTGGAATGTGGTGCCTGGAGCATTGGTTAGTCATCTGGAAGCCACTGTGACTTAGAGACAGATGCCAGAACGCTAAGAATTACCAGGGGGTGGATGGAAGCTTGGAGTCTTTATAGCATCACCATTTCTGGTGGATTGATAGCGCTGGAGCTGCCTGTTGGTGCTGCGCTGGTTACCTAATAAGCAGCTCTCACTTAGTCACCTCTGCTTGCAGCTTAAAGCATCTTTGCTAATCTAGAACTCAAGGGAGGACAAAAATGCAGTTCAGATTGAATCAAAGAAAACAGGTTGGTGGGAGTGGAGTGCCCCCACCAGTGGCTCATGTAACCCAAGTCCTTTAGGTAGGCCTTGCTTCAGACCTAGCCAGATTATTAATACCTGACGTTTCCCAGGTTCTTAGGGGTGCCTCCTCTGTTACTTCTTCCCATACTTTTTTGCTAACTCAGGTGCTGTAGCAGCATTGAGGAATGTACTGGAATCCAGAAAGTATTTTCTGTTATATTAGGGGATATCTGGCTAGAACTTAGGAATGCTGGAAAAACTATCTAAATACTTCCTTATCAGAGCAAGAAAAATTGGAAGAATGTTTTTGTCTAAATAAAGTGTAATAAAATATTGAGATATGGGTCCAGTGCGGTAGCCCAGCACTAAATCCTTGTCTTGCATGCAACAGGATCTCAAATGGGCACTGGTTCATGTCCTGGCTGCTCCATTTCCAATTTAGCTCCCTGCTTGTGGCCTGGGAAAGCAGGAGAGGACAGCCCAAAGCCTTGGGACCCTGCACCCACGTGGAGGGCCCAGAGGAGGCTTCATCAACTCAGTTCTGATTGTGTGGCCACTTGGGGAGTGAACCAGTGGACAGAGATCTTTCTCTCTGATTCTCCTTCTCTCTAAAATTTGCCTTTCTAAGAAAAATGAATTAATCCTAAAAAATATTGAGATATCCACTGTTTTGAGAATTTACAACTCTTGTGTATAAAAAGAATCCAGATGAAACTGCCAGAAAAAAGTGAAACTTTTCCTTTTTTTAGGAATAAACGCCTGGTTCATCTTCTGCTGCTTTCCCAGACCTTTAGTAGGGAGTTAGATCGGAAATGGAGGAGCCAGGACGTGAACCCATATCCATAAGAATGCCAGCATCAGGTTAACCGGGTGCATTGCAGCACCGGCCCCCGAAGTTCCTTCTGAGCGTGTAGTCCTCTAGCGATGGGGTTGGCACCGGGAGAGCATGTTTCCTGTTGGAATTTGCTGTAATTCCAAATGACCATCAGCTGTCTTTCACGTCATCAGGGTGGGCTTTCTGTGCAGTGGTTTAATTAAGATGCCATTTGGCACGCCTGCGTCCCACGTTAGAATCCTTGGGTTTGTTCTCAGTTCCACTTGTGATCCAACTTCCTGCTCTCCCAGGGGATTGACACATTAGCAGGAAGGGTTTTAAGTGGAATATTGTGGGGGGAAAGTCACTCAGTTCCTGAATTACTGACTGAAAGTAATTCTGGGAAAAACAGATACAGCAATTGTGTTCTAATGGCACTTAAGTTCTGCGGAAAAAAAAAAAAACAAAAACAACTTTTGAAAGCTTACCAAAGGAAAATCGCAATGTGTTATAGCTTTCATTGCTTTTAAGACTATCGGAGTCTAACTAAGGTTGGTGCAGCTTAAAATGCTCCTGGGGTACTTTGGTTTTGGTTGGAGAGGAGCCTGTCTTGGTGTTGGAGTAGCTGCCTTAGTGCCGAAGTGCAGTCAGCTATCAGGTTAAGATAGCTGCAGGAGCCTCTGAGGATTTTCTAGGCTGCCAGATCCAAGAAAGAGTTGTAAGAATGGTTCTAATTTTTAGTAACTGAATATATTCATTTGAAAGGGAAAGAGAGAGAGATATGTTCTATCTGCTGGTTAATTCCCCAAATGCCTGCAAAAGTCAAGTCCAGGTAAGGCCAAAACCAGCAGCCTGGACTCAGTCTACATGGCCAGCAGGGACTCGAGTACCTGACCCATCCCCTGCCACCTCCCAGGGTGCACACTGCAGCAAGCTGCTTCAGAAGCAATGCTGGGACTTGAACCCAGGGACCCTGATAGATTGTGAGTGTCCCAGCCAGCAATTTAAGCACTGCATCCTTCCTACCCTGCAAGCCAGCCCAGTCTCTTGGCCTCAGTGGTTGTGCAAACAGGAACCAGAGGGACCATTTATTCTGTGATGTCTTGTTGCTGTTTGGCTACCATCGGCCAAACATGTGCTCTGGGGGTGATAAGTGTACACTTTCACCTGGAGCCTTGCGTTACCATCTTGGTTTTATAGTCATAACCTCATGACTTGGCATTTTTATCATGTATAATTTGTATTTTATACATCAGTCTCTCGGAGATGCCAGCATAGTGAAGACATCTTTATTTCAAAAGGAAGTTGTGAAGCTGTTAATTTAAAACTGTTTTCAAAAAGTTATTTGTGATTGGTTACAAGGTATTATATATATATTATATATGTAATATATATGTATTATATACATATATATTATATAATCTACCACAGGCTTGGGTTTGGTTCTTTGCACTGAGTGTGGCTCACTGCCCCTGTGTTCTCCAGTGCTCGAGGGCCGTGGTAGTCTCCACCCTTCAATGGGTGCTGTGTTGGTTTTCATTCACTGGCCTGGCCAGAGAGTTAGGGAACAGCTTGAGGCCTGTGGACTTGACCTTCCCTACTACAGTGACTGGGTAGGTCAGGGAGTTGACGTGAGAACTCTGCCAACTGTGGAGTATGACCCTGCAACTGAGGAACTGACTGTGGGGTGGGTGAATGGACGTGGACCCACTGCTGTTGATAGCTGTCAGTTGGGTGTCCAGTGTTTGCTGGCCCCATGGGCTCCTCCTCAAGAGGGCGGGGCTTTGGGTTCTGGGTCTGAGACCTGGCTGTGGTCTAGGAATGGGGCAGTGGATTGTGATTTCCCATCTCCTCATGCGTTCCCGTTATGCATGTTTCCAATTATGTGTATTATGGTCCTTGCCCATTATGTGTACTTAAGCAAGGATCCCTCCCTCTGGTCCTGCAAGTCAGGCTCCACTGGGCTTTGCACCTTTGCCCTTAAATGTTTCCATTTGCCTCTGCCTTCCCAGAATTCTGTTGCCATTCCTCCCTGACTCCCCAGTCCTCCCTGCTGCCCAGTGCTGCTGGGAAGCCTGTGTCCTCTCAACCCCTGGGGAGAAGGGTGTCCCTTGGCCATTGCTTCCTGGTGATTGCTCCTGCAGGCCCTCTCCAGGAACCTAGTTACTGTAGGAGTCTTCCAGTCCTGTGCAGAGGTCTTTCTTTGCATACTCACATCTCTGAACCTCCAAACATTTTGTTTTAAAGATTTATTTATATATTTGAAAGGCAGAGTTACAAAGAGAGTGAGACAGTTGGAGATCTCCCATCCTCTGGGTCATTTCCTAGATGGCCGCAATAACCAAGCCTGGTTCAGGCTGAAGCCAGGAGCCAGGAGTCCATCCAGGCCTCCTGTGTGGGTACAAGGGCTTATTTATCAGAAGCTGGGAATCCAGGCCTGGCACCCAGACCCTCCACTGTGGAATGTGTCTATCTCAAGTGGTGGCTTTACTGCTGTGCCAAATGCCTACCCTTCTCTGAACCTCTCAGTCCCTCCCTGGAACCTCTGCTTCAGTTAATATGGCCATTACTTCTTCCGGGAACCCTGTCAGCACTGAGTTTCTACTGTGGGCCTTGGCAGGTATCAAATCCAACCCCAAGTATGCAAATGAACAGACCTTCCCGCCTTCTGCTGTGCCCCACTCCGTCTGTGGTCCAGGACCTCAGCATCTCCTCCTGGGCACACCCCTTGGGCCAGCTGCTATGGGTGGGAAAGCTGACCCTAGTTAAAGTAAGGGACTGGCTTCTGAGCCCTGCCCACCTCTGCCCCGGTCAGTCAGCCATTGGCTACCAGCATGTGTGCAGCTTCCACCATAAGGTGCTCTGCAGCTGCTAAGGACACTGCTGGGGAAGGGGCCAGTGGGGAGCTATAGCAGCCAGTGCTCAGCGGCATCTGGGTTGGGGCAATGGCCCACGGAAGGCAA